CCGCCACAGCTGTATGTCCCTGCTGGCTTTATTAAAGTTTCATATATTCAGTATGCAACTATTGTGCCATAAACACTGAGGGACCTCAGTTTGAACAGCTTAATTAGCTCTAAGCCTGTCTAACAGACCTTTGATGGTGAACATATGGAGCAAATGTGGATGGGTTTTTGCTTAACGCTTGACTTTATAGTGGACATATATCTGACAGAGTGCTGAACCTAAACAGTAAAACATTATTAAACATCATAGTATAACGTTTAATTCATGGTATTTATCAGGTTTATAATTCAGTATTTTTGTCTTTAATTGCAGACTTCAGATGATGAAAAGACACTTCTCAAAGGGATCCTACTGCTGTGATGACCTTCCAGGAAAGACCATTACACATCACATCAGTAATGATCAACTCTACTAATAGAACCAGCACACTGCTGTGGTCCAATCCCTGGAAGCTGAGGCAGCCTCATGGGGTAACTTGGGCCAAGAGGTGAGGAACTGTCATATGATGCATTTACTTTTGTTTCAGAATGTAGACGTGTACAAGTCATACACAGAACAAGACATTTTAAGCACCTGTACAGAGCAGGGGGAAGAACAGTGTAATGAAAATAGCATCAGTCATTGTAAGAGTTTTGTTGATTAGTCCTGACGTCTGTGGAGAATAAATAAGAAATTCTCCTGTACGTTGAGGGCACAAGGGAGTGAAAATGGACTGTGAACAAGTGCAACATGGGAAATGTCTCATGAAAAGTCAATGATGTTTAGATGTAAACAGAGAGGCCAAGGATGTCAATGAAACTACTGAAATTGTTCAGGAAAAGTATATTATCATCTTTTTCACTGGGACCACTATGAAAACCCCAGTGCCTTAAACTATTTCTTTGCTGTATAACAATGCACTGCACAATCATTTTAATATTATTGCCTTCTGTACAATTAGATGTGCCTCATATGTTACAACTGATATTGTGAGTTCAAGCAGCAGTTTGTTGTCTCCAAACATGACCCTGATGTATATTCAGGTCACAGATCATTACATTCAATAGAACCATTCGTCCAAATGAATTTAGAGCATACAATCATTGAAATACNAAAACTGTAACAGACACATTTTAGAGACAAAGTTCACCCTTCACCCTACGAAGTAGTTAGTGTACGAACTTGAGTTTAAAAAACAAACCTGCTGCAGAATGGGGCGGATCTGCTTCAGCTGAAGGTGCTGACCCGGGTTGATCTTCAWGWATTTKKCCAGGTCCATATCCAGGTGCTCAAACACAAGACAGCAATATYCCTTGAAGGTGAATGACTCCTTCATTTGGATGATGTTGAACCTGTCTGAGTGGAGCTCCTTCATGATTTGTAGGATGGCCTCCTCGTCCTCACTGTCAATGTCTTCCGTGCTTCTGATCATTTTTAAAGCCACGGTTTCATTGGTGGTCACATTCTTGCATWGCATGACCACTCCATAGGAGCCCCTGCCCAGGTATTTCTGAACCTGGTAATTTGTAGTGGGGGAGGGGATCAGGACTCCTTCAGTTATTTCAAACACCCTGTTTTCAGACATGGTGACAGAATAATTYTCMAGTTGATTTCTYACACCTGTCAGGAGAATAAAAACGAARGAAGTTAGTCACAAAGCCTCATATGCTCTCACACAGCCTGACAGCAAGTTCCTATGTATGTAGCAGAAAAGTTTACAGRCAGTAAATCAAACTCAGTCATTTTAATCTTAAAAATCCACCAATACTAAAACTATTGCTTCAATCAAAGATACATTACAGACTGATGAATATTCCTTTCTTATATCACTAATACTACTCCTATGACTATATGTGTATATTTGTTGTGCACAATTAAAAATGAGCCCACACTGTATAGTAAGTAAAATATATATGAGGATAAAACTACTTTACTACTACTTAACCTTTTACTCCCTCCAAACTCAAATTGTATCAACACTGTAATAATTGTAATAACATACAAGTAATAACAACATAATCTGCTYAATTGAACAAGTGTCAGCTGGAAAATATTCAACTTACCAGAGGGTTGAGTAGTTAAAATTCTTTAAAAACAATAATCTCTGTAATCGCGCAAATATTTTAGCCAAGTGCTCCTCACAAAAGATTGTCTTGACTGAAATGATGAACACACATAAAGATGTGTGTTTATATACCTTTCAGTCCAAGAACATCCTAGGATTCAAGATTACAGGCTTTAATTTCACATGGTTTTAATGTCCAATTTGATCATAGCCACAAATGTGGCTTTGATCAAATTTCTTTTTTTTGTTCTGTTTCCTTTGAATCTTTGTCCTTTATCATGAATTAAACACTAGATGGCAGTAATGCGCCTGGACATAGGTTGCCACCTGCCAATAAATCAATCAAAGAAGAAGMAGCAGCAGACACACSGCCCTGAAAYTATYCRTATTATCTGGCACRTAACAGTCAGTCTGAAGAACACATGTTCAGTCCTCAGATGAGCTGCCACCAAACCCCTCAGACAGCACAATGGATCAGTCCAGCATTCTCCAGCCATTTTGTTTTTCCTACTTATCCATGTTGCTAATGTNCATTTTAATTTTGACAAATGTATCTATAAAGCTAACAGAAACAATGTTTATTTGAAAGATATATTGCTACTAAACTGTCATTTACAATAATTTCTATATTCATTCAATCCAGTAATATATGCACAGTGTGGAGAAATTTAATATTAACTGTTAGATGGATTTATAACCTGACTCATAAATCAATGTTTGCTGAACGAGGCTTAACTTTTCCTGATGTAAATGAGAGGACAATCTGTCCGTCCTCTCAACATCCATAATGATGGAGTCTGCTGTCCTTATACAATAGCATGTCCATTACCTCCAATTCAATTTGATTGGCTTTTTAACTGACTTAGACAGGAACACTGTGCTGTCTGTGCTAATCGCAAAAAAAAGTGTTTTGCCCTCAAAGATAAACCACATTAATGAAGCTCAGTTGATCAGAAACAAACTTTTACAAGTACACAACAAAGTGTGTGAGTGTTTGAAAGAAGTCATAAAAAAATGGAATAATTTATCCCAGCTCCACCCATGTAGTCTGTAAGGCTGTACACTTGTTCTACATATCAGCAGCAATTCAACAGTGAAATCCCGCACATGAAATAATGTTTTTGCTTAAAGTGTCTGACTGAGATCTGCTCGTATTAATTAAAAACACTACCTGACTTTGATAAGATCCCCATTGCAAACATAATGAAAACTAAAATGCATCAACTTCTAAACAAACTAACTGGTTTACGGTCACCACCAGTATAGTGACAGAAGGTAGAACCTGGTACTACAGTTTGACGATGCAAATATGTCTAATTTCTTCCTTTTGCAACTTATTAAACTTACTTTGTTCTTGGATGTTTGATTGGTCTGCACGTAAGGTCCCACGTTAACCGGTGACATGAGGCTTTAAATAATGTAGTAATCTATAGCATTAAAGATTATTGATCATCTTTGTATATCAGTCTGTACTCCGAACAATCGAGCTGATTTTCCCAGAAAAATCAGTTAATGACCTATAGTCTGGTTCAGCTTTGTGCAATGAGTGTGATTAGTATAATCATTCAGTGAAATAAATAAGAAAAGATCAACAAACAACAATAATGTCAGATTTGAACGTAGTAAACCTTGATTTTGGAGGTGATAAGTGGCAAGTAATAATTAACAAGACATTCAAGCATAATTGATCCAAGCAATGGTCAATTCTCCCTTTTACAAAAAATGCTAATTTGCTCAATTTCAAAACAAAGCTGAGCAGTAACAGGGGGATTGTAGGAGACTGCATGGTTAAGCCTGTACTTCAGTGACAAAATATAGAGATGTAAAATGATGACTGACAACACAGTGTTTGCCTCCAGCTGCCTGTCATCTGCAACACAAACACTGATTGTTCAAATTGCCGCTTCCTTTTGTTGTCAGACTCCCATGACTTGAGAGAACAGGCTGCTGAGCCACAGTTCTGATGGATTAGTTATGTGAATGAATCACCACAGGCCTTTAAGTGAGGCCATTTTTCAAGAAGATAAAGAATGTCCCACTTCACAGAAATACAAGAGCAGACACAAACACAGATGGGCAACAAATGCAAGTCTTGACATTTTAGCATCTAACCCCCCCCCCCCCATTAACTCATCTCTCACACACTTCCTATCTATTCACTGTAGCAAATGAAGCCTTGATTTCCTCTTCTTAATTAAATCCTCCCTCATTAAAGGTATCGATTGCTGCCTTGCCCGACATCTGAGCCTGAGCAGAGGAAGGATTTCTTTCCCGAACACTTGAGATTTGATCATTATCTGCTTTACGCCTATTTAGTAATTAGAAGAACCTCATTCAAGTGTGCCTGCATGTGGGCCCTTATACTGACACCTGCTCTGTCACTGGCTCTGCAGCACTTTGAATGTGAATGTTTGAAATCTACTTGTGTGAGTCTGACTCTATTCAGTCCCCTCCTCATGTTGCACTTGTAAAAAAAAAAACCTCAAGTGAAGAGATTGAAGCTCCTGTAATTTTGGTGTAATTTCCTCATGATTTGGAGGCTGGTGAGGGGAGTTGAGAAACAACCTCCATGTCAGGACCAAACATTGAGGGGAAAAAACATGGCTCTGCTCAGGAAGAGTCTATTTTTTTCCACAAAATCAAACATGCAAAAACTTTTAATTGAGAAATGTAGAATCAGAACCCTGCTCAACTGAAGGCTGTTTCGCTTCCAAGTCGCACACAAGCGTCCCAACCCTCCTCTTCCTCATTCATCAGCATTATCCCCATCCAGGCTGACTGCACCCTGCTCCTCCAGGGTGGCACACAAACATTAGCTTCTGCTAAAATAATGCCTCAGCTGTCGGATTGAGGCGATAAAGATCAATGCAGTCGCGAAACTGCTGCTGAGCTCAGTGTTTTTTTGTTGTTTTGTTTTTTAAACTAACACCTGTTAAACGACGGGCATGCATCCTACCTGCAAACTGAGAGCTCCTTTCCATGTCGCTCACCTCTCCACGGGCAAACATGTACAATGTGGCTGCAGACTACACGAGCACGTCCGCCACTTCTTCCCCCAGCCACTACTGAGAGAGAGAGAGGGAGAGAGAGATAGAGAGTGAGAGAGAGAGAGAGAGAGAGAGAGGGTAAATCCATGGAATTGGAGCAGCCCTTTAATTCAAAGCACCAAAAAAAACCTATAATTAAAGCTGCTGTCGTTGTTGTGTTGTTGTGTTGTTGTGTGACACATTCATGTTACCATTTATTTGTTCTCTTCCACAAGTCAGCAGCACAGTGGTCCACGGGGAAGCTACTTGTTGCCTCCTCCTGGATGGTCAAAGAGGCAGCCATGACCTGGNCATCCTCTCCCAGTGTCTCCTGAGGATCAGAAGCTCCACCCCTGCACCTCACACCTGCACAGATGAATTACGATATGGGGAACAGGGAGCCTCTTGCGGGCGTGCTACCCTGCAGGAGTGGAGACATTGGTTGGAAGGTGCAGTACATCCTTTCATAGTTTGGACTGACCATAAGAACCTGGCTTATCTTCATTCTGCACGTAGGCTCAATAGTCGTCAGGCTCKGTGGTCTCTGTTCCTGGGGAGGTTCCACTTCACCCTCACCTACCGTCCTGGGTCCTGAAACCTAAAGCCTGATGCCCTTTCCCGTCAGTTTGCACCTGTAGTTAAAGAGACCCCGGCAGATAAGATCCTTCAGCCCGCCTGTGTGGTTGGAGCAGCCAGGTGGGAGATCAAGAGGGTCTTCACCACTTGACGACTGTCCACCAGATCACCTTTTTGTCCCCACGTCCCTGAGGTCTCCTGTGCAACAATGGGGTCATCCAGGATATCATCGGACACTCTCCCTCCTTCAGCAGCGCTTCTGGTGGCCGTCCATGAGTGCTGACACCAGGGAGTTTGTTGCCGCCTGCTCTGTCTGTGCCCGAAGCAAGTCCTCCAACCGAGCTCCGGGCTGGCCTCCTACGTCCCTTACCTGTCCCTCACCGGCCCTGGTCTCACATAGTGGTGGACTTTGTGACGGGGTTGCCACCATCAGAGGGTAATACGGTCATTTTAACCATTGTTGATCGATTCTCCAAGGCTGTCCATTTTTTTCCTCTGAATCAGCTCCCCGCAGCATTGGGCACAGCTGACCTGTTGGTGCGTCAGACATCATTTCAGCCTCCACGGAATCCCCTCAGACATCGTCTCAGACCGGGGTCCCCAGATCATCCCCAAACCAACAGTCAGACAGAGCGCACAAATCAGGATTTGGAGGCATCCCTGAGGTGTGTTGCAGCTCTTCCAGCCTCCTGGTCCACCCATCTGCCATGTTAGGAATATGCCCATAACTTCCTAATCAGTTCTGCCACAGGTATGTCACCATTCATGGTTTCCCTGGGCTTCCAACCCCCTCTTTTCCCTAATCAGGAGGCTGAGATCGGTGTGCCATCGGTCCAGGCCCATCTTCAGCATGACCGCCGGGTCTGTTGAGAAGCCCGGGCTGCTATCGTACGGACCACGGAACATAATTGACGTATCGCTGACCACCATAGGACACCAGCCCCGGAGTATCAAGTGGGTCAGCAGGTATGGCTGTCAGCCAGAGACTTACTGCAAGTGGAATCAGGAAACTCGCCCCAGGTACATTGGTCCATATCCTGTTGAGGGTCATAATATTATGATATTTCAAACACCCACCTGTTGCCACACCCTGCATTCATTTTCCTTTTTTTCGCCCTGCTGACGTTGTTGTGTTGTTGTGTGACACATTCATGTAACCATTTATTTGTTCTCTTCCACAAGTCAGCAGCACAGTGGTCCACGGGGAAGCTACTTGTTGCCTCCTCCTGGATGGTCAAAGAGGCAGCCATGACCTGG